ACTTTGGGAAGGCTCCTGCGGAGCACTGCTGGGTCAGGGGAGCTTCTAGTGGGGCTTCAGCCTGGCTCCCTCTGCCACAGGGCCAGGGGAGAGGGCACCAGTGCCCCGTGGTGGTGCAGGGTGTGCTGTGGGTTCCATGTGCCGTTCCCTGGCTGGGTGTCGACAGGGCTTTGCATGGCTCAGGGGCTTGGGAGGCTCTGAGGTGGCTTCCCATGGTTTATGGGTTGGCACTGTGGAGGTGGTGCTGGCAGTGTGGTGCTGTGTCCTCTCTTTGCTGAGGATGGTGGGCAGGGGGATGTGTGTGACTGGGGCTGTCTGTGCCCTCACTGCACGAAGCTAGGGGGTGTCTGCATCCCTTGTGTCACCCCATGGGGACTGTCCCAGCATGGCAGAGCTGCCACTGATGCCAGGGCTGGGCCTGGCAGGATCTGGGCAGAGCCGTCTGGGTCGTGTTTACTGAACGGCGTCGCGCCGTGGGTGGGGAGATGCCCCCAGTGCCCTCAGTACTCAGTGCAGGAGGGGCAGCAGGTCCAAAGTTCTCTCTGCTGCAATGGTGGCCATGCCAGGGTGTGCGGGTGGGCTGTGGGGTGGTTTCAGGCTGCTGGCAGGTTTGGGGCTGCAGGGAGCCCCTGCGCTTGGGGGGCATTGTGCGCCCTGGGGGGAAACATGGTAGAGTAGGTAGATGGGTGAGAAGGCAGAGGGGACAGGGAAGCACTGCTGGAGTGAGCACATCCAGGACTGGTGCAGTCCCCTCGGTGAGCAGCACTTGGTGTAGTCCCTGCAGGGGGTCATGGGGTGTTTGCCCCCCCTAGGTCTTCTGTACAAACCCCCTGAGTCCTGTGTACCCCTGAAATAAAAGCCTTAAATGATGCCTACCTGCTCCTGTGCTTGGCTGGCATGTGGTGGTGGGTACAGCACCTCAGGGACACCAGCACCCTGGGGATACCAGCATGGGGTGACCTCACCCCACGGTGCCATCCAGCTCATCATACCTGGCAAGACTCTGAGTCAGTATGGTAGGGACAGTGGTGTGGGAGGGACACAGCACAGTGCTGGCCAACTCACTGCCCCACAGGAGACCCCCCTGTGTCATACATGTCTCCACTGGTGTCACCTGCATCTCTGCCACGGACAGACCCACTGGGTGCAGCAGTATTTTATTGCCACGGGGTTTCCCGTGGGACAGAGGTGCTGCCGCCGCTCCCATCGGGCACTCCCTTGGGGCTGGGGCATGTTGCTCCTCAGAGAGCATTGCCCATCCCAGTGCTTGTCCATCATGCAGGAAGAATGTCCCTGCCACCCACAGTGAGAAACAGGGCCCGGCACCCAGGGGTGGCACCCAGAGGTGCCTAGGCACTATGGGCAGGGTGTTTCTGGTGATGGCTTTCCACCACAGAACGAGCTCCTGCTTTCCCATCGCCACCGTGGCACTGGTCCCCTCCTAACGCCTGTGCTCCTCTGCAGTGACCTGCTCTGTGCAGGATGGGGGATGCCATGTCACTGGCCTGTGGCCCCACTCAGATATCATCCTCTGTGACCAGGCAGTAGAAGTCTGTGCGGGCGCTGTAGTTGCGCGATCCCAGGTCCGAGATGTCGAGCTCCGGCCTCAGTCCATCCCGCAGCTGAGCCTCCTCCATCCCTCCAGCAGCTGCAGCCCGGGCAGTGCTG